TTCAGCTGCCTATAGGTGCGTTTGCAGAGGTTGGAAAACTCTGCAGGAATTTTAAATTCTGAGGAAACATCTTTGCAAAGTAGTTTCCTGCACCCTTCAACAAGCCTGGCTGGTCAGTGTGATCAACACCTCACTAATGGGCTAAATTTTGAAATAAACGATCTTGGCACTGACAGAAATGAACAGGAAGGATGAAGAGAAAGCTGCAGAATGCAACAAAGGTATGGCAATGAAGGATCACTCCTATGACTTCTGAAGCTGATTTTGAATCGGACAATGCACTTGCAGGAATACTCGTAGTCCTAAGCCAAGTTTTTCTGATGTGAAGCAACTTCAGGAGCTTCAGACAATACGTCAGCACATGTGCTCAATGCACATGTGGACTCACACATGCACCTCAGCGATGCATGCCGACAAAGGATCCAGAGAAATGGCAAATAGCTCCTTACCTGGAACTACCTTACCCTTCCCTATGGGGGAAAGGGAAAAAGCTGTAAGAGAGATTATTTGGAATTAAAAATTCCATATTTTCTCAAAAATATAGGCCAAGGAAAATCTGATGTAAATTGCTGTAGGGAGAAAAAGCAGAGGATGAAACTGGCTCATAACCTCATACAACTGGCAACAGTGCTGGCTCATCTACATGGATGGAGCTGGGTGATTTGAATGACAATTCAAACTTAGGCAGAGCTCTGGAGTAGAAACCTAAAACCAAACTCCTCCAAAGGCAAGATACGTTTAACTTCCAAGTTTGTGGTTTTGAGTCTTTCTTTTGAGGTTGTGGAAATGTCAAGATCAAACTGAACAGCTCCAGGATTTTCGTATACAGAGGACAAAGAAACATCCCTGCATGTTCAGCACATTATCCTCAAGAGAATATCCCAGCAAAACCAGAAGAGCTGACCTGTGAGCCTCACCTCAGGCACTACAAGCCCATAGACTTGGGTGCAGCCTCTACACAGCTCTTTCTAAAGCCTCTATTGGGGGGGGGGCACTCCTCAAGCATTTCCACTCCTCAGGAAAATACAGTCCTCTGACGTGGGGCAGGAGGGCAATCCAGTTCAGAGCCAAGCTCAGGCAATGCAATCATCAACCTCAGCTGGAGCCAAAGGAGAGCTTTCAGTAAGGAGTTTGGGGGAGGTTTCCCAGACCACGAAGAGCACAACACAGATACCAACAGGCAGGAATTCAGCTGCATCTTCCTAGCCTTCTTCTGTAACAAGATCTCCAGTGTCATCTTAGCTCTGAGGGATTTGACTCTGCTCTACAGTGCAACTAAAGTTTAGCTCGAGGCTACTTGCTCCCCGAAGTGTCTCTCTGGCTTCTGCCTCACACAGCCCTCTCCAAACCACTTCTAGCAGGTTATGTTTGTGTCCTGGTCTGCCAAACAGATTCAATCCATCCCTAAATGGCAGCACGTTTCCTTCCCATCTGGTGTCCCAAAACTATCACCGTGTCATTGACATTTTTAGTGTCAGAGTTTTCCTGATTCAAGTTTTGCTTGCTCTTAGGGAAAGTGCCTTAAACCGAGCTCTCCATGTCTTCTCCACAGATGCTGCTTTCTCCAGAGTACCCTGTTTCTGGTCTTTAGTTTGCTAATGACCCAAGTTCACTGCATGATGGCAAGAACCGCGGAGGGAGCGATTGCAGAGCGATTCGCTGCCTGTTCTCACAGCTCTGCCTTGCCAGCATGGAAATACTGCCACTTCTCCACTCCCCATGCAATTCTCAATGGTGTAGCCAACAAAGACATTTAATGGGATGAAAGGAAATGACAAGAGCTCCATCCCACTGGAAGCCACCAGGAACTGGGTATCAAACCTTTGTTTGTGCTTTTGGAAGACTTCCTCCAGGGCTTTAGTGCAGCAGCGATGTGCAACCCATACACTATTCTTCCCCACTTAGTTTGCAGCTTGATAAAAGGCAATAGAACTAGGGACTTCAGCTCAGCCAGTTTTGCCTGATTTGCCAATTTGTGTTGCCGTTCTGTGTTACAGCATCAGGACTTCTGCAAATTTTCTTTTTATTTCTATTGTCAGCTTCCTGCCATGTAGATGGGAATGGAATGCCACCCTGCCACCCTACAGGACACCAGCATCAGTGCTGGCTCGTGGCAGAGCTCCCACATAAACCCTCACATCTGTACCCTCTAAAAACAGGCATTTATAAGACAAAAGGGATTCCTCATATCTGACAGTGTTCTTGTAGGTATTGCTTTCTTTTTCTTTAATATTTTCATATCTATAGTATTTGGCCTTTTTTGCATGGCCTGAGAACCTGTAAGAACATTTTGTGCAACAGTGCAAAGTAGAAGGTGCGGGCAGAAGGCTTGCTTCCTACCCGGAGACCTGCCCTATGTTTCCATGCAATTTTGGGGGAGTTTCTCTGGCCAAATTACTCAAAACTATAAATTGCTGTCTGCCTTATCCAGGTCATCACAGCTTCTGAGGCTGGAACTGTCACTCTATGAGGCGCTGAAAATCTGCCTGTTTAATTACCTCAGTTTCCCTGTTGGTAAAGGGAGGATAAGATCTTCCATGTCTCAACTCATTAATATTAGTAAATTGTTCTGAGATTATGGGATAGCTGGAACTATTTATAGGAACGCAAAATGCCATTTCTATTAGGTGCAAGTTGCCACACAATTAAAATATACCGAGCATCACAATATGTAGCAAATGGGACATCTTGTTTTACATCAGCCAAGAACTGCTAAGTGGCTCTCTGCTTCCTAGTTGCTTATTTTATACTTTTTGCCCTGAAAAACTCATTAAGGAAATGTACTGGGCCAGACTGTGATGTTTAGCAAGTCATAATCTCTCTCGAAGTTTCCAGCCCACAGGGAAAAGGATGTCCGTGTGGGCAAATCAAGCTACTTTCTCCACAGCTCTACAAAATGCAGAGCTTTACAGTTTGCTGTCGAAAGAGAGAGATGTGAACCACAGTTATGGCCCTTCTGCACCTCTTAGAGGAGGTTTCCATTCTGTAGGTATACATAAAGAACAATCTCTGCTCTCAGCCCTTCCAGAGAAGGGGAACAAAAGATCCTTTAAATCTCAGCTTTCCTCAGCTGCCTTCTACGGAGTGACCAGGGAGAACTTTTACTGGCTCATTCTCCTACAAATGAATTTATTTAGATTCCTTCCAAAAGGTTGCATAGAGTCTTTCCTCATTTCTGTCTGGGAGAGCTTTGTGAGAGGCCGTTTGGACAAGACTGCTGCAATAATTCATAACATTTACAGACAATTTGTAAACCCTTACAGTGTCCCAGAATGATTAATTATTTTTTCTGAGACTATGAAACACTGTATGAGTGTGTGTTTGTGAACATGCATGAAGACAGGCAGTTCCCCCAGGCCCAGAGGCAGGAATAAAGATCAGCACAGATTTCTTCTTCGTCGTGTAGGGCTTTTTGTGATACTTTAGTTGTTTCGTCCCTCCATATTTTAGGTTTTAAGTGAACCCAAAGCACAAGGTAGCAGTCTTATTTCTTTCCAGGCCTCCTACAATAGACTCTGGAAGACCTAGTCTAATATGTACCAAAGGTATAATCCCATGTAAATAATTTATTCTAATGATGATCGCTGGCCTTGGCTTCAGCCACCCAGGAGAAAAGCAATTAAAATCACCCCTCATCCTAGATTACATGGCCTAAACTTAATCTCTGTGAAGTTTTCAATATGATTAGTTTTATATCAACTTTCAAACCAAACTGTATCTTGCTGGTAGTTTTTGGATGAATATACATTAACCCCAGTGAGTTCAGAACAAGAAATCTACAAATCCTAGGATTTGGAATGATTTCCTAAAACCTATCTCAAATATTCTGCATTAATACCCATACAATACAAACTAATTGCAAAGGCAAGCTTGTGGGAGCAAAAGTCAGAACAATGCTGAACAAATATCTGTGATTTGATCAGGACTCTAGTCCAAGCCCTCTTTTGCAGCAAGATACAAGAAATACATCTGTGTAGGCCATCACTAGCTATACCAAGTCTGGAACCTTTTAGTATTGCATGCCTATACCAGAACCTCCCCCCTTTCCACATTATTTAGGGTATTGCTTCAGATGCTAAAAATTATTTGCTCTTTACTGTTACACACAGAGTTGGGTGAGAAATGTCACTTATTTTTCAGTTAAACAATGAGAAGACCATACCAACACGTATAGTGCATGAAGAAAAAGAAGAGCAATCAAATGATTTAGTGATGCTTTTCATCACTAAAATGATTTTCTGGCATTCTTTGGGAGTGACTGACTGTCAGGGGGACCAGTAGAGAAGAGACTATTGGTTATAAAAAGCTTTAAATTCTTCACTAGGTAAGACATTTTCCTCTCCTTGCCAGCCCCATGATCATCCCTTTTGCCATTATATTTACATACCCAACAGTACCTCCCTCAAATGGTTTTGTTAGTCTGATTTGCCTGGCTAAAAAAACGTCAGCTGAAAAAATAAATCTGAGGAGACTGCAAGAACAAACACTCACACAGAAGATTTAAGAAAATTATCTTGTTCTGTGCTTGTAGAAACCAGCCTCCCCACAAGTTTATGAGTTCAAATCCCACATGAAGGGAAGAGAAAGTCATGTGAGAGGTTAAAGAAATCCGAAGTAAATGTGAATACTAGCTTTGTTGTATGATCCTGTAAAACAAGCTGGATAAAGTCACTTTTTGGGTTGGTTTAGTTATCAACATCTCTTGCCATACTGCAGTGACCCTTTTGACTTTAATTTCACCACTATGCAACGGCTTCTGTTGTCTCTCCAGCTTATTGCTAACATCAGTATTAAGCTGTTCTAGCAGAAGTGATTAGCTTGTGTGTTTATAACCCATGCTTCCACAGTGAAAAAACCAGAGATACATAACACAGATAATAATAATCGTGTGCAGTCTAATCAAGCTTTGGGAGAGCTGTGCAAAAATAATATTGCAATCTTTTGTGTCTTACAGGATGGGAATAAGGCTGATTTCCTTTAAAACACACAATTTATCCTACCTTGCTGGCCTTCAGTATCTCAAACATCAGAGGCAACCCTTGTGTGATAAGCTCCTCTGTGTACTCTTCTTCCTGAATGGACTTGAATTCCTTAAGCAAGCACTGGATGAGGGGTCGTCTGTGCTGCTGGAAGGATGTGCGCAAGGACTCCAGCCATGTGTGGAGTGTCCAGGGAACACCTACGGACAGAGGAGAGAGCTCATTCCCACCTTCAGGAACGGACGTGCCCTTCTGCTTTTTTACCTTTACTCACGTTTAGATTTTACGCCAAAACTGCCAAATAACACTAGAAATCAAATTCCTATTTATCCCTAATTAAGAAGGCTGGCAGTTATCAGTACATCCCAGACCTAATGCACAGAGGCTTTCCTCCAAATGCTAAGAGAGGACTGTGGTCTCTCTGCTCATCTAGCCTCCAGCTTCTCTGCTGAGACTGCCAATTTGTGGTAATTGCTGTGGTGTTCTGTGTAGCAAAAGCCTTTTGGAAACTAGATTTACACTAGCTTATTTGTTTGAATGTGGCCCTGGAGAGCCATTACATGGTAAAAAGCCCTGCTTTTGGTCACTACCCACCTGGATTCAAACTGGTGGTCTTCAGATTAAAACTTGCTTTAAGTGCTACCCCTTGTCCTCCCCTGATCCTTAGTATTTTCCCTAAACTGCATTGGGCGAGTTAAACAGATCAGCCTTTTTAAGTAGATTGTCATGGTAGAATCACTCTCCAGGAAGTTAAAGGGAACTGCTCCCATGCACTGAGCGAGAAAGCACATGGAGCTAATGTACCTCTGCAGGCATGAGGCTGGACGTGACCTAGTTTCTGCTCTTGCAGAATGGAGTGGAAGGAAACACAAGCCTGATGTTTGGCAATGAAAAGTTTTTCCTTCCATTTCAGAAAATGTTAAATGCCTGGAGACCACCCCCACCACTCTTGTTCATCTCCAGATCTTTGCCTGCTCAGCCCAACTGGCAAGCCCTGACCCACGCCACATGTCCCCAGGGCTGGAGCACTGCACCAGGCAGAGGCAGGCCAGGCAGTTGGGTCTCTCTGAACACAGATAAATGGGGATGGTAAATACACAGTTCAGATCCATTTCCCTCTGCACTACCCAGTCACTCTCCCCACAGGCAGAAGTGACTTCCCAGCAGGCTGGTATGATCAAGCCCCTCACTGAGGGGCTGGCACACCACAGAGCTGGCACACCAAGGAGTCAGTTCCCTGCTCCTGCCTTTGGAGGCTCACAAGTCTCGGAAAATAAAAGTTGTTTTAATGGTGGACTGCTTTACAGCAGAGCACAAAAGAGGAGCTGTAGGAGGTGGCCTACGGCAGCTGAACACTGCCCCAGAGCCTTCCCAATGCTCTGCCATGCAGCAGTACAGAAGGCTGCCCGGGGAAACCACTGTGTCCTGCAGAAAAGAGCCAGTGACCCCTGAACAGGCTGTGCTGTAGAGCTGAAATGGGCTGGGAACCTGTCAGATCTCCCATCATCTGCTTCCAAAAGAAGTGAGGAAGATGTGACTGCGGTCAGTTTAAGCAACAGCCCATCAAGAGTGTTTCTTATAGTGGTCCCTCCACAGGTGAGGATGAGAAAGGACAGCAGGACTGACCTATGCTCCGTATGTCAATGGTCACATCCACGTAGCCGTGCTCGGCGCTGTGGTACATGGCCTCCTTCAGGGCTTTCAGCTTGGCCTTGCTGTTGCGGCTGGCGCAGAGCGGAGCTGCTGCCGAGTCGGGCAAGTCCGTTCCCTCAGCCAGGATCTCCTCCAGTGACAGAATATCGCTCTTCTCCTTCTCTGGCTGAGCAAGCAGTTTACGAAAGACATTCCTGTCAATCACAGCATGACAGAGAGAGGGAGAGAGGGCAAGAGAGGAGAGGAAAGGGAGAGCGGTGTTAGTGCCTAGGCCTTCGTTGCACTGGGTGTACTTGCTGTGACGTGGCAAGTTAGAACACCTATCAAGGAAATTACTCCAACTAATGGCAGAACCAGCTGAGAGCAGACCCGAGGCAAGCACAGCTTCTGCTAGCCCATCTGCACTGCCTGGAACACATCTGCAAGTCACTGCTGTCAGGACAGGAACCGTACAGATGTCGCATGAATGGCGGCATCTCATGGGAACAGAGACTTGTGAGGTAAACATGACTCAAAACTTCTTCAACAATCAGGGAAGGCCAAGGTGTTTCTGGACAAGCTCTCAGGATTTCCACCATGGAAGGTACCTGACAAGGGAGTTGCTTGGAGCTGCCAAAAGCACCACCACTTGATTAACACTCAAAGCGGTCTGGGAAAGCTAGAGCAGCTAGACATTCAACAAGGCCAGTCAGGGCAGGTTCAAGCACATCTGGGACTACTCTACAAAGCCACTGATCCAGCTGGGCCATCAAATAACAAAGCCCTCAGGTTCGTACCAGCATAACCTCATCAACCTCAACAGTGTCTCTCATGGTTTTGCAGCTGTGAAGAGAGAAACTAGGCTGGCTCCCTGGAGCCCACCTCCCTTGTAATCTGATGTCCTCCCTGCATCTGCTTAAGACCCCAGCATGGTCTGTCCCAAACAAATTTAGGGCAGAGAGGGAAGGAGGAAGGCATGTGTGTGAATGGTATACATGTAGGAATATAAGAGCCAGAGTCTGTGACATGGACATCCAGCAGCCAAGCCAAGGAGAGGCCCAGGTCCTCCTCGGGCATGTGGCTCCCATTCACGCTAGCTGAATGTGAGACTTCAAAAACCAAACTGTCCTCTCTGTCCCAGGGATCCCTCGCAGGCTCCAGATGGGCAGTGTTGTGTGAACCCGCCCTGACGTGCTGTTAGCATGTTGTTAGACTGGCAGCTCATCTCTAAGCAAACAGACGGTAGGTACTGTCTCTAACCTGTATCTATGTTCCTCTGGATGGCTACAATCAGAAAAGTAGGAATGTGAAGATCATAATACTAATTCATTACACTGCAGTCAACTCCTGAGTGTTACAAGATCATGCATGCCAGGTGCTCATGTCATTATTTTTTTTTTAATTTGCACCATACATACAACATTAAGACACGCAGGACTTTACAGTAAACACAGATGCAGAAACTCTATTCAACGGAAATTAAGGCTGCAGCAGTACAGACACAATTCACTCAAACCTGAGAAATATGTCAAGAAATTCAGAAGGAATGTCTTTGGCATTCCTTTCTGCTGTCATATCAGCTGCCATTTAACAACCACTGCATTGAACGCACGACGAGGAGTCCCCTTTCTTTTCTTTTTTTTTACATCAGATATCAAAAAGCAGCTTGTACCACCAACTGGTTTAATTCACATGTTAAAAGAAAGCCTTACATCTCTGCTCAGTTGGTGGCATGTTCAATTTGTTCATGCAGAAATTTCACCCTTCTGCTCAAACTGGATGCCCAGGCAAAAAATAAGCACTTGAACGATGCCACTAGACTTGTTCCCACTCTACCTGTGTCCATGTGCAGCAGCCTGACTGAAAGAGTTCATGTCACCTTGTGGATTCATGGAAATGCCATTCCTGTACATTGTTCCTATCATGGGGTCAGCTCCTCGCTCCAACAGCAAACTGACGAGTTCAAAATTTCCTGCAAGTCAAGAGGTACATTTTTACTTCTTTTAAAATCCAGTATTTGCTCACCTAAACCACAGATCCCAGCTGAGGAATTGTTACAGTGGGAGGAGAAAATCCTTACCAGCAGCTGCTGCCAATTGTAAAGGAGTTTCAGAGTAATTTTCCTCTCCATGCTCCAAGGAACCTTCTACTTTTGCTCCAGCATCCAGCAACAGCTAGAAAGAAAATTCACTATTTAGAGCAACTGGGGGTATCACAATCTTCAGAGTTCATGAACAGTGACAAATGAGAATCTAATGCTTCTTGTTATCTGAAACCAGATAAAATGGAGACACGTGACATGCAAATTCTGCCCATTGTTTCACAGAGACAAATTAATTCCTTTTTTCGCTCATTTTATGCTGCCGAACACCAGGAGCACTAGTGTCCAACTTCAGAGCCAAAAAAGTGTAACCCAGTGTTTTCGAGTGGGAAATGGGGTAAGGTCAGCGTTAGGAAGTAATGCACTGAAGATGGAGGAAAATTAGCCCGACAAGCATCCTTCCTTCATGGTCTTCTAGAAGCCCAGCACCATCCAAAAATGGATCAGATTTTAGTTGCCTCCATCTTTTATATAAAGACATGGTCAAAAGAAAGGCAATTCTTAAGAACCAATTGCAGCAATTAAGTCCAAAAGCTGTGGTCTCCATTGGGGACACTTCCACAATAAATAACAAGAATGCTGTAGACAAAAGTGACCAAGGAGAGTAGGATGGAGCCTGTGCTCCAGCCCCTCCTTTGGCTATTTCTGTCTTGAGGCCTTCACAGTTTTGGTGCTTCATTAAGTGTGTCATAGACACAGCTGTTTTGAAGAATAAACCTTCTCAACTTTTGAGATGCCAAAGCACAGAACCAGCATATCCCACAAACACATCGATGGGGTAAGGAGAGCGAGGGCTTCTCCCCCTTTGGAGCAGCTCAAGGGCTGTTGTCCACCTCTCTCCAACCAAGGCAGCGGTTTTGTGTTTGCTAGAATATTACAGTGTAAGAAAGTGCAATGAATGAATAAACAAACATATAAAACAAGTGGTCAGGAAGGAGCACAAGGAGTTGTCAGACTTTCTTTGGTGCAACTTTGCTTTAAAATTGTCCTACTTAAGCCTCATATTGGTTAAGGTTTGATCACCATACTCACTATATAATAAGTCTATTATATATCAGTACACTCTTGAAGAAGCAGAAGTAACCAATATGAGTATGACAAGAGGATGCTGATTTGAGATGGATGTAATTAGAACTGAACAGGAGGGGAAAAAAAAAAGAATGAGATGCAGGTAGGGAAATACAGTAATACCTGAACTACAGGAATATGTCCATGCAACACAGCAAATGTCAGAGCTGTCCAATGGCGGGTCTCAGGGTGGACGGATGGGTATTTATGAGCAGTACTGACAACCTACAAACAAATTAAAGTTATTTTTTTAAAGAGCTATATGTAACAAAATTCAAATTGCCTGAAAGCCAGGCATGTGAGGGAGTAAGTGAAATAGAAAACCTGGGAAAGGTGCTTTATAAAATGATTGGCTTCATATTTTTCCTGCAAAATTTTTCTCAATATTAAAACTGTTCATGCTGATTTGACAGCTTGAATTGAGTTCTTACCAAATGAAGTCTTTTACCAACTACTGTAGCTCCATCTAAACCACTGGCCACCAGATTCTTTTGCACAAGGGCAAAACATCCACAGCTGGTTACAACAGCACACACTGGGGAAGCAAGGATGGATCAGGACACTTACAGCTAAGGACCACTCCCACTGACTTCTCCAGACCATGTATCAACAGCCCCAGGCCTTGGGACTGCTCCAGGCCCAGCCAAATTTCTTTGCACTTAAATCAGTATGACTTTTGTCACTGCCATCATGAAGGACACATCACAAGCCCTACCCTGGAGCTTGCAGGCATCCTTCCAGACTCCTCCTCTCTCACCAGAGGAAAAAGAGATGTCAGAAGCAATGGGGCAGAGTGGCACTTCAGAAATGTTTAAAGAAAACTGCTTTTTACTGCTTTCTCCTGTCTGAGTTGAGTTAAAAGTGCGGGGTGGTGACAGTTAAAAGAGATGCAAACTATACCCTTAGAAAACAAAATGCTATTTTTCAGATTGCTCCTTCCATTTTCTACGCCTTAGTGCCTGGTGCTTCTAATGTAGACTTGGGGAAGATGAATAACTATTCTTTGCTTCAGTTTCCCTGTCTTAGAGATGGGGGTATTAATATTGATGAGGTTCACAGAGATGGTAAAATCTAATGAACGTTTGCAATTCGAGACTGCACACTCAGAGGGAGTGTGACACTAAAATTCAAAATCTTGTTATTGATCTTCAGAAGAGGACTAAAATCAGAGTAAAAGATGCACTGTCTCTCTGTTTCACCAGCCAGCTATGCTTTCACTACCTTGTCTGAAGTACCTTTATCCATACAGGGGAGCAGGACCAGGTATTAAATATTCGGTTCCATTAGCAGCTCACATTTCCAAGCGCCACATGCAGTGTTTTGCCAAAAGCAGACCCTCAGTCCCAAGGACAGGGATGAGGGAAAAATCTGAAGAGCCCATGCAGATCCCATAGCTTGCCAGAGGAGCGGATCTGCACCAGCACCTGGCTGTTATCGCCCAGATTTGCCAAGGAGGGACCTCGAAGGGCAACAGGAGGAGTGTGCTGGCCTCTGAACAAAGGCACAGGGCTTCTTAGGGTCTGGGTTTGCTCAGAAGGAAGAGGATCAAGCAGCTCCAGCCTTGGGGTTTAGGATGTAGAGTAAGAGCAGCAGAGGGTAAGGATGGGCAGGACCATGGTTTAGTGAATGCATCCAGCTCCTCCTCAAGCACATGTTCCCACCACTGTTCGGGGCAGTCCATAGAAAATGGCAAAGAAAATGAAGTCATTTTAACTCCTTTGCTCCTTTTTTTTTTGTTTAGAGTTCTTTCCAGCCGACACGGTGTTTGCAAAAGACCTGCGGCTGACCAGGCTTTTAAGGTTGAGGTTTGCTGAGCAGCTACAGGTCCCATTGACTAGAGAGCAAACTGCAGCTTCTCAGCACATCTGGAAATAGAGTCCATTTTCACTAAAGATAGGCAATCAAAAAGGGAGGTGCCTAGCATTTTAGGCTACTTTTGGAAACATATTTGCAAAGTGAAAGGGGGAAAATTATGCAGGCACCTGACAGAGTATTTATTTTTGTTCATGGTTGATTTGCCTTTTTTTTTTGCCTTAATTGCCCAATTTGCACAGTTGGTTGTGGTGTGCACAAATCATCTTATAATTGCACGCCATAATTATTCACAGTTCTTGTCCCAAAGTGTTTTCATTTGATTTTAGAGCAAACACTCTACAGTAATGAATCGAGGAGGTTCACATTCCTCACTGGAGCTGTTCTCTCAGATGTCAGCAGTTTCAGGAAGACAAAACTGTTTAAATTAGCATTTGATTCAAGTCTGACAGATTACTGGAGCAATTGGGAGGACTGCTCCTAATGAAAACTCATCCTAGCTACCAAATAATGCCATCTCACGTCTGAGCCACAGACAGGGTTAAAGGAGAGCTCAGTCTCCATGCCCATCCAGTCTTTGGGCTTGCTAGGGATTCAAGTATTCAGTTATTGTCAGCTCTTGGTGGTGTGCCTGAATGTGGGGAACTGAAATCAGTGGCTGATTTCATGATAGTAACAACTATCAATCTCCTAGAGGTGACATCCATTTCTACTTTCAAATTAGACTTTTCAAAAGTGCAAAATGTCTGTCTGAAGCAGTGACTACAATTCATCAGCTCGCTCAAGTCCAAACAGAACAGATGGAACATAGATAAGTGAAGCAGACAGCTTAATTTACTCATGACTTCAACAAATTGAAACTAGAATCATTAACAAATAATTCTTTCGTGGATTTTCAAACGGTTCTTTAAAATCTACATACCTGCATTGCACAGAGTTGGACCACAATCTGTTTGGTGGACAGATTGTGTAAGTTTGTGATGTGCATTCATTAAAAAGACATTAATATTCTGGAAGCTTCAAGCTCCTCATCCAACAATTTCTAGCCCAAGGCACTTTGTAAAACAAAACAATGGAACCTACATTGCACTTGTGTGCTGGGGATGCTTACCTGGAACATCCCTATGCATAGAAATGCTCGAGCTTTTGCAGGTTATCAGATGGGTGTTTCTTTTACCCTCTTCATTTAAACCCAGATGAGATTCAGGGAGTCCTTCCAATAGCATTAGAGCTGCGCTTCATGCTAGTGCTAATGCCCATATTCATTTGCAGTGTGCAAACACAACTAAATCAGTATTACCTGTGGGTTAACTCCGATGACTTGACCATTTCTATGCAGTGAATCCCAATGTTAACCTAATGCCATTTGATTTCACTATTCATTTCAAGTGGTTCCATCCAGGATAACACAGATTTTTTTTTTTTTAATTCTTCGGATTTTCGCTCTGCTACAGTTTCAGGGGGTAGTTTAAGATGTAAACAAACAACAGAACAAAGATACAACCAACAAAAAGTCCTCACCTCAGCATTTAGATCTGCTCCAGCATCTAGCAGCATCTGCACCATAGCCTCATCACCCCTGACACAAGCATACATCAGTGGAGTCATGCCCTAGTTCATTTTTTGGAGTTAAAAAACAAAGGAATTGACAAATTTAACACAGAACTCTCTTTGATTTTTTAAAACAATTATTCAAGTATATATCATCAAGACTAACAATATGTATTTAATGAAAGCCATTACCTCTGTTACACACAGGCCTCTGAGAGTACCAAAAGCCAACCATTTTTGTAAAAATCTCCATTTTTGTTGTCACTTGCGTCGATCGCTTGTATTTTCCATATTACCTTCAGTATGGTAAGTGGAACTAGGCGTGCCAGCCTCACTCCATCCTCATATACTAAACTGACCATTTTTGTCTTTGAGGCCCCAGCAGAGAAATGTTTTCAACAAAGCAACTATTATTTCCACTGGTATTTTGAAAAGATAATAATTTTACTCAGTTTTCTACGATCACAGTGTCATAAAATCTAACTTTTTAATTACTGAAAGAGCCTTTAAAACATCTCAAGTTTCTTTTAAGACAGGTTAGATTTGAGCACAGCTTTTTCAACACGGATACTGTAAGGGGCTGGAAATGTCAAGGCTTTGTAAAGCACTCTCTAGCAAACAAGGACTTAATTTTAAATTAAATGCCAGACAGCTTTGTTGCAAGTTGCTGGCTCTAGGAAAACAAGGCCCTTCTTGGAGAAAAAGTAGATTAAGTGACCCTTCTATACAGAATCACCACAATGCAATTTGTATTAATCTGAAATACCTGCTATGGCTGATCACCGTTTCCTTTAAGGTAAGTACTACTGTGGCTGTGGTAATGAATCCAGATGAAACCATGAAAAAAAATCATTAAATCTACAGTAAATTGTAATAGCAGAAGCTGCTTACTAAATACAGTAGGGGGTGTTGACCAACAGCCACCAGTTGTTTTGCAGTAAATCTCCTGAAGCACACAGATACCTCTGATGCATGTTTTTAGCCTATGCTGAGGTCCCCCAGTAAATCTGCGGTCAGACGACAGTCCCTTTGCTGTTTAACCTCAGTGCTGCTGTGAAGTGATCAGAGAAACTGGAGGTACCCAGCCTGGCCAGATACAGTTCCATGACACTGCTTTCCCTAGCAAGAGCCCAGTACCACCATTTTGCTGAATTACCCCACTTTTCCTGTCTGTATGCAGGGCAAAAGGTAGTGGGTTCTTATGTATGGAAGGGCTGCTCTTGTAGAGACAATATAAATTAATGTTTGTCCCTGCAAGGTCCTTAGATCCTCCCTGAAACACACTGAGCATTTCCCAGGATCCAATCTGCAGTGTACTCATGGAAATGCAGAGTAAGGGAACAGGTACTTGGGGCCTCATACCATTATTAAGAAAAAACAAGTTCACCCCAGGCAAGGGAAGTTCTTGGGTGACTTGAAGTTACTTGCAAAGAGAATTTGAAATGATTTCAGCTACAGTCAATAGCAAAACATTTCCTTTGGCAGTCAACAAACACTACGGGAACAAACAGGACCATGAGAATTACAAAAAATTGTGTTTGTGCCTTGAAACAGAAGGATAAGATAGCAGTTTAAAATTAAATACATGTTCCTTCAACTATTTTTTCAATTTCTGTAAGTGGCATCATTCCATAACTAAGTCAAGTGTTCAGTACAAGGGGTCTAATCAGACCTGTAGAAAAAGAATTCGAAAACTGGGTGCCAGGGCTCCCCCCTGCAAGATACAGCACATAGGCAGCCATGGTGAAGAATCCTGTGGCAACACCGAGAGCCAAGGGTCTGCCTGGGAACCACGCAAGATGTTTTGATCCTGCTGAAGCTGAAGAAGGACTTACAACTGACTAAAAGAGGCCCAGAATATCATGCTGCAGTATCAGGTTTTTAAAGAGTTAATGAGGTCTCTAACCTCCCCTTCCCTTGGACTGCTGTGCCTGCTGCTTTTGCTTCTGCCAGTCCCCCCAGGCTTGCCCAGCAGCTCAGCCTTTCGCTGCAGCACCATTCACCCCCCTCTCTTTGCATGTGGGAGGAATGGATTTTTAATGAGCTCATCATTAGTGTTCCAAGCACACACAGGAATACGGTAACAATGTGCACAATCAACACCAAGGGCATTGGCTTTCGGCAAAATACAAAATTACTGTCTTTCTTTCAGCTTTGTATCACTTATGACTCTGTCCTGCAAGATGTGGGACATCTGATCCAGCGAACCATTTAAGCACCAGCTTAACTTTCACCCAAATAGGATGTAAAAGCATGTGTTCGTAGTTAAACATATGATTAGGTACTTTGATGAACCAAGCCAGAGTGTTCCCAGTGTTCAGCCTGGAGGACAGAGGAAATATGCTGTGAAAAGTTTCCAGGTTGAGACTAACTTAAAATAATAATAATTTTAAAAAGTATAATGTATGAACCTTGGAATGAGCTGTCTAAAACTGAGGTTTTTTGCGGGGAGTATTGTCCTGTTCTAAAGCTTTTCTCAGATGAATTCACAATATTGACTCAGACTGAAGCTACTGAACAGAAATGCAACTCACATTCCTGGAACAGCTTTCATCTCAGAAGACCGAAGTCCATGAACAGTCCGGCTCCTGTCCCAAGTGACCACCTCAGAGGTGGCAGCCACCTGGCTCCTGCCAAAGAGGATGCCACAGCTCTGGGAACATGCAGTGACGAACTCTCATCAGGGGCACCAAAAAAGTCAGGGCACTCTATTTCAAAAGGAAATGTTAGTGCCCATGGCCTGACCTCAGTGAGCATCACAGTCCAGCAGACTGCTGCCAGGTAGCTGCAGAGGGCAGGTTTATCCCTGGACGCAACCACCAGCCTCACTGAGGTGTAGCTCCAGGGAAATTTAGGCTCTTCAACTGGTGGATGTTGGCCACAATGACCAATGGAGGGGTAACTGCTGAGGTACTTTCACTCCTGCAAGGTCAGTTCAAACTGGGCTGAACTCAGTAAAAGAGTGCCAGCAATTAATAATCAACTGACAGGAGTTCTGTGGTGCACATGAAATGCATTGCAGATCCCGGAGCAGCATCCAGTGGAAGGATGTTCACCTCACAAAGCCCTGTCTCACACCACTGTTCATGGCATTGAAGCAATTTTAAGTATTCAGATCAACACTAAGCTCTCTTGGGATCTTCACTCAACTCAGTTCAATGTTAAAAAGATTTCAGGGGTGCAGTCGCACTCATGCTGAGTTACCCCAGTACTGACAAATCAATACAACTCGAAATGACCCAACTTAACGCAGATGTTCACCTGTCAGTGCTTTAACTCAATGCAAAGTAATGCAGGAAAAGCATTAAGGTCCTATCTATGAATAGCTGAAAGCTGGGGCTCATTTTCTGTGATAAGCAGACAAAACTCCCACATTTCACAGTTACCTCTTTAAATTTCTATCCCGTTACCTGTTCACTCATGCTGTTAATCCCATCTGGCCCCAGCAAGGATATGGCTTGTTTAACCAGATCCGTTCGGCCACAGTTGAGCATCCGAAAACCGAGGTCTTGCTTGAACTTCGCTTCAGTGGCAACTGCATCCAGCTTCCGAGACGCACAAAAACAGTCGTCGATTCTGTGGATGTGAGAAATAAACTCCCTCAGAGGACAATCAGAGGACAGACCTTGCTGTTCCTAGGAAAATAATACTTTGCCCTGTCTTTGAAGGATTTAGGTCATGCACACATCCTTTGACCTGTATGTGCGATGGAAATGCTGAATGGAAAATGATAATGCAAGCTAATGGAGACTGCCCTTGGTCTCTCTTTCATGGGACAAGTTATACATTTCATTAAAAACTGGGCAAAAAAAGCACAGCTTGCACTTGATTTTGTTTCCCTGTTTAAGCAATGCACAATACATTCTCACCACAAAGTTTCTCTCTGCATGGCAAGGTTATCCAGTTCCCCTGATCTCTGAAAACTTTCAGTGACTTCAGTAAGCTTTGAATTTACATCAAATGGATGTATAATCCATTTGTTGACAATACAACAAAGAGAAAATAATGTCACTCCAAACACCTACAGCATAGCTCCAGTAAGAGGGAAGCCTTTTTGGAGCAGAAAGTGCTGTCACAGAATCCCAGACTGGTTGAGGTTGAGAGGGACCTCTGGAAGTCAGCTGGTCCAACTCCCCTGCTTAAGCAGGGCCACATGTACATCAGACCACCGTGCAATTGGGGACAAGGCAATCTTGCCAGGAAGTCGTGGCAAAACACCCCAAATCCTTGCTGACTGTGTCTGACACATCAGATATCATTCTTTTAAAGTCTTATTCAAAAGATCTTCAAACTGTAAACTGATATCCATTCCAAATAAAAGAAGGCCTAAGAGTTATTTTGCAAAGATGTGAATCTACAGCTCCAGAGAGAGCCAGGCAATTCAAATCTAATGTTTATCCAACTTGGTTTCATCTTGTTAAAAGACAGGTTTGCTTTTCTTTCATGCTGAGGAGTGTCTGGAGCAGAGGGTGTAGTCCAAATCCACAGTGCTTTTGGTGTGAACTTGGATAAAGAACTGTTTGGAAAAACACTGCTTTCATTCTACAAAAATGCTAAGTCAGAAAATGAGGGGCTAGTTATGAAGGAAAACCAAAATAGAGATCAAAAGTGAAAAAGTCAAGCATACATCAAATATTTGTTTTCTATTTCATATTTTAAAAAAAGCAGCAAATCAAAAGAAAAATACAAACAGCACATCATTATAATTTAAATTTCTTCTTCAAAGTTCTTTATCAGAGCTTTATAAAATATATAACACTGCTTAATATTTAACAGCAGTATGTAACAAATATGCTGTTTATATAGAAGCAGTGGTATGTAGCAATAGCTACTGCTTTTCCTCTTTCAACAGAGGAAGGAAAGTGAGATGGAAAATACAAAGTGTTTTGATCAAAGCTTGTGCAGGTTTGAAACTGGCATCTGAGCTCAGGCTTGCTCTCTGCTGTGCTGAGCCACAACCAGTCTGGAGGACAACAGATGTTTGTTGATGTTCATTCTACATGTTCAGTTTGGGCTTTGACTGCTAAAAAGTTCATGTCCTAAGAATGCAAACAAGGTATGCTTGGAGTATCACTACTCAGGGGAACAAGGATGATGTTTCATCACAACAGTATGCTGCAAGATTAATGCACGACGCTCGGTCACAATAAACACACCGCAACAGCAATAGCAGATTCTGTACCAGTGATATGCCCACAAGAGAGAGGAAGAAAGCAATGCATAGCAAGGCTGGGGTTTCTGCAGTAGTTTCTGACCGAGTTTAAGGAAAAAGCAAAACCAGCACAGATATGCAGGGCTGAGCTCACTGACACTGAGATCCATGGGAGCAATTGAGGCTAAATACATTCACACCATATGGCTCATTTCTGACACAAGAGCTACAGCAACATTTGATGCTTGTTACCCCCATCCGTGAGATGCTGGAAATCATCTGTGCCCTCCTTTAGTGTATGACAAAGATAAAGCATGCTCAGAAGTTAGGTGGTGGGGGTTTTGGTGCATGGAGAGAGAGTCTGGACCTTCCAGGTCCAGCTGGCCATTCCCAGATGACTCTGGGCTCTAAACAAGATGGTTCCTCAGCAAAGTGGAAAGATCTAGATATTCTCTGCAGAGGTGTCTGTCACTATGAATCACTGCCTGTGTGAAGTCACTGCTTCATAATTTGTTCTGAGGTATATAACCTACACTGAATAAAATGGGTCAAACCCAGTGCTGGCAGAAACAGACAGAGTTTCACTGACGTCAGCCCAGCTCGGTGCATGAAATATGATAGTTGATGATCTCCTCTTTTAAAAAACCCAGATTTTGACCTGGGTTGCACACCCACACAAGGAAGGAAAGACCAACACGGACCTATCTCACCTACCATGTATGGGATGCCCAGATCTCTACACTGGCATGGGTTCAAAAATTACTTGCTTCTTCACTGAGAACTCCTCCATGAATTGGCTCTGGTCTCCTAAAAGCATGTCAGTTCACCTGCTTACTATAGTCAAGGAAGGAAACCCATGAATTCCTGATGATATTGAGTATCAGCGAATTAGTACTCTTTAATCAGCTGGGGGGATAAGTGTCTTGGTCCAAGGGCTCCAGGATGCTACAGCTGTAAAAACACTGCAACAATAACATGGATGCAGGAGTGCCTGGGCTGACAAAGTCTGATCTACACCAAGTACCACAAAACAAGAAACCAAAACTTAGTACCGCTACCAGTGGCCCACTGCCTTTTTATACCCCAAAAAGGACCCATTGTGAGTTACAGCCCCAATTTATGGGACATAGCAAAGGAAACTATATGGCAAAATCTGATATAGACCACTGCCAGTGACCCCACTGTCATATGTTGACTAATAAAATGGATAGCGATCAAACTGGTGCCTTTAATAGAACAAGAGCATGAACTGAGGGAAAGGAACAGAGGATGAGAAGAGAAAGCACAGCAACGTCTCAAAAAGCCAGAGAGGTGAATGAGTTAAGGAAAAGGAGATTTAACACGTACTGATAAAAAGCAGTGACGAGACATCAAAAATGATCAGGAACTACAAGTACAAATAGAAGAACACAGCATCACTTTTAACACTGGAGAAAGCCAACTGGGAAGACAGTACAGTAGGCAGACTGAGCAGAAACATTTCAAAATGAAAACTGAAAAATCAAAAAAACCCCAAAGCCATCAAAAAATCAAACTTAAGCCACCACAGTGCTGCATTTTCTCTCAAGTCCTCTTTCATCCCATTCACTGCATAGTGTTGATTCCAAAAGAAGCAGAGAGTGTCTGCTCCGTATTACACTGTATAAAGGGATGCTGCTCCATCATGGACACCATTCAGAATCATAAACATCAAAGAATGCAAGAAAAAAAGGAGGAAGGGAATAGACACCCAGGCTTGACTTGATCAACTTTGGACTGAAACAAACACACTGACAAGCTAGGAAGAAGTGGGAAAGGGATGGGAAGAAGCTTGAAAAATAAGGCTGAGAAGGAACAGTTAAGTTAGCTAAATATATATAGGGTCACTTTTTAGAGTTGTGAAACTGTGCCTGCTAAGCAAGGGAAGAGAGCATAAGTGCAAAGAGAGCTGGAAACCTCCCCAGCTGCACAGTCAGTTCATGGCCCTTTTGCCAAAAAGTCTTTGTGATCTTTCCAAGTGCACAGGAGGCTGACACCAGCTCAGCAGCAGGATGTCCCCCCAAGGCCATCTCGGTTTGTTGCCAGAGTCTGCCAGCAAGCAGAGTTTATCCTTTCAGGTGAGTTTCATCCTCATCAGAGGTCATCCTTTCCCCAAGACCTGCAGAAAAGGTGCATTTTCATCGAAGGGGCAGGGAAGGTTGATGAGAGAAGCAAAAGACTATGGGGGCCAATGCTCTTCTCCTCCTCTTCTACCAAGGGACAGTCTCAGGATGGCAGGATATCACCACACCAGATGCTGGCTGGGTTAGGTGAACTTTGAGGTCTCCCAGAGGCGATACAGTAACAAAGGTAGGACTGATCAACATCCTTTGAGGGTGATACTCTCAAAAAAGACAGAGTCCATTCTGGATTTCCCTATTTCCTGTGGGGCTGGGCAGGCTCCTTGGCACCACCACCACTGTACACACAGTCCCACTCCCAGAAGCGAGATTAAAATTGAATTAATAATATACACTGATCCTAGTCCTTGTGCTCAACAGCAAATCCACCCCTTTTAATTCAGAGTTTCGATCACACAGACTGTCAGCTCTCTAGCAGGTCCCTTCACAGCGTGAATCAAGCAAACAATTGCCTTTATAAATAATAGGAAAAATAGAAACAAGCTAAATAATCTTGATTTTATATTTGCAGTAAAGCTGTGACCACATTTTTTAACTTATAATGCAATACAATTTTCTCCAAGTCCTCTTTTAATTCCTCACAGATATTGCCTCTACAGCAGTTATCTTCAAGATCATTACAGTGTTGCCACTGCACAGAATTAAATTTACTGTGGCTTTATATAGGGAATGCCATGGTAACATTAATTATTTGCAAATGGTCACTGTCAAACGCTGCATGGTGACCATGACACTCTTATCATACCCTGAAATACTCAGACCTCTGAAAGGAGTCAAAGATAATCTTCTTCATTTGTAATGGGTCCTAGCAGTAGAGAAAACTATTTTCCTTTTCCCAAACTCCCATTATGAAAACATAATGCAGTACTTCTACAGCAGGGTTTAAACACTTGGTTTTTTGTTTTGTTTTGTTTTGTTTTCATTTTCACTCAGACTGGCTTAAGATAGAGACTGTGCAGATCTTTAATAAGTTACTCATGGGTTGAATACATTTGGGAAAATGGATGATTCAAAGGCAAAGTGTTTCCATCGTAACTGGTAGACGCAGTTGATTTAAAAGAAATGGAGTGCAGACTGTATTGAACAGTAGGACAAATGTTCCCCTTGGCTGAGAGGAACAGATCATCACACTGAAAGCCAAGCATCAGAACCTTGTCTGTCCACCTGGGACTTGATCACCAGCCCTTTCAATTAAAAGAATGATAATCTAATAATTAAATCCATCATCTTAGCTCTGTGGAATTTATTCAATTTATTCTAAATAT